GTCGCTATATAGAGGGTGCTGTTGGAGCTAAAACTAGAGTGAACAGCTGTGTGTGTGTGTGTGTGCGCGCGCACGCGTGAGTGTGCATGAGTGTGCATACGCACACGCTCATGCACACGCACATCTCTGCGTATTAAACAAGAAACAGGTATAAAAGCTTTATGTTAGAAGTAAAATGGTATTTCCTGACAGTGAGGGTTAAGAGGACTGAAGTTAGTGCCAGATGAAGATTATGAGATCTCTCTTTATTTTTGGTACTTAGGAGGGAAAATAGGGATGGATTTTCTCATTGATGGATTAAATGTGAGCTTCCTTGGAAAAGAAAAGACAGCTGACCACTTAAAGCTCTTACTTCTTGTGTACTTTTCTAGATAAAACCCCTTGATCAATACAAGGGCGATGTGTGTTTGTTAACAGTAAACCAGAAGGCTGAGGGTTTCTCATTTATTTGTGACTATATTTCTGTTTTCTTCATGCTGAGCTCTCAAGTACGCAGAGTGTAAAGACAATTGTAATGTTAGATGCTATTTTTATAACTTAGCTTGACAAGGAATTATTTGTATACATTGTTTTTGTTGCAGAAATAATTTATTTTTATAAAACAGAAAGGTATATAGATTAACAAAAGGAACTGAAAACCACTTGGCATCTCACTACACAGAGATACCACTGTTAATATTTATATTTATATTTTCTTTTAAACACTTTTTCCAGTATATAGACATGTAGTTCCAAAGTGGGATTATATTGTGCATATTGTTTTGCAGTATTCTTTTAAAATTATAATGTATAGTAACATAAAATATTAATAGTGTGTTGAAAATATCTATTCATGTTAATAAATATTTTTACAATGATATTTTAATCCCTGCATATATCCCATTCTTTATTTGTACTGTCTTATTTACTTTTTATTTTATTTTATTGCTAATACAGTAATAAGTACTTGAGGGAGATGAATGTCTGTGCATTGTCTTTCATTTATTCTTTCACGCATTTCAGTAAATAGATTTTATTGCTATTATGTGCTAAGCTCTTTTTTGGGCATGCGGATACAGTGATGAACAAGTTTGAGAAAGCTTCATATTTTCATAGAACTTACCTTCTAGTTGGGAGAGATAAAAAAAAAGAACAAAAAAGTAAACCAATAAATAGTAGTAGTTGAGAAAAATAGTCAGTACTATAAACATAATAGAAATGGGGTGGGGGGGGCAGTGATAGGACCTGCTGGGGATAGGGAAGGTGGTCAGGGAAGGCCTGTTGAGTTGGTCTGATCTTTGAGTTGAGCTCTGAGTCCCAAGGAAGAGCCAACCACACTTAGGGACGTAGATTTCCAGTCTGTTGGTCAGCAAGACAAAGTTGGCAAGGCTAAAAGAGCTTGGAGTATTTGTAAAACAGAGAAAAGACTAGTGTGGATGGGCTTCGTGAGTTGAGGTGAGATAAAGGAGGTATGTGGAGTCCAGGTCATGTAGGACTGTAAAGGCGAAGATAATAAGTGTGTATTTTATTCTAAGAGTGATGAATAGCCTTTGGATGACATTAACCAAGGGAGATGTGATCCGCTTAACCTTCCTATTACCATGTGTAAGGGTTCGAGACAGAGAAGCAGCAGTCGCAGTATAATCACGAATAGCAGTGTCTTAAACTAGCTTGTTAGCACTGCAGAGACAAGTAAGAGATTTGTGCTAATATTTGGAGATAGAGCTCTCAAAATGTACTGCTTAATTATTTTCTACAAGTATGCCTTGGAATGTAAATGTCAGAGCAAAGGGTATGCACAGTTTACAGACCTCTGTGCGTATCCCCAAGTGTTCACAAGGGAATTTGTACCGTTTAACAGACAATTGTAGTTTCTACAGTTTACCAGAAAGTGTGCACAAAATTGGCTACATTCACGGGAGGGAGGAACGATCTTTTCTTTCAAGGAGGTGACAGTTTAAGATGTTGAGAATGTACTTACTACTTACTATGAAAGTACTTACTGTGTCTCACTATGATATTTATTTGTGTCTTTGTCAGAAATTATTGAGCTTCTTTGTGTGGGTTTATTTTTGGATTCTTCAGTTTTATTGACCTACTTTTCTATCAATACCACACTGTGTTCGTGTAGCTTAATAATGTCTCAAAGCCCAGGGTGTGAATCCTCCAATTTTGTTTTTCCATTTCAAAATTGTTTTCATGTCTTGTTCCTTAGATTTCCGTATAGATTTTTAGAACCAGCTTGTGTGTATCTCCAAAACTTTCTGCTTGGGTGTTGATTATGATGGAATTTTGTTTACAGACCAATTAGGGGATAATTGACATCTTACCAATACTCACACCAGGAACATAGTATAACTCTTTATTTATATATGCTTTTGGCTTTTGTGCAAACGTGTGTGTGTGTCTGAGTGTGTCTGTCTGTTACTTTAAGGAGGTATATGGGGAAGAAAAAAATAAACTCATTATTGAAATGGCCTTTCTTCACATGTTGATTTCCTCCCCAGTCTGCCTGCTATTTTTTACTTTGTATAGTCCTTAGGTGGGGGTGTGTGTGTGTGTGTGTATGTGTGTGTGTGTGTGTGTGTGTGTGTGTGTGTGTGTGTTTAATTCCTTCCAGGATGCTTAGCTGTAATTAGTCAGAGAGACAGCCTGTAGTGCATTTATTCCATTGTTTGGAGTTGGAAGTGAATTGGTTTAATTTCGATTATCTCAGTCCTTCTGGCTTGGTGATGCCATGGATTGTGGAGCAGCCGAAAGTGGTTTATTTGTGTTTGTTTGTTTTTTCACTTTGAATAAACCAACTGTGAGATGACTTTCATAATGTGGGGTTGTTAAATGTGAAGGATATGCTTCCTCTCTGAAAGCTCACAGGATTCACCTTGAGAGGCTGGAGGCCTAGGAAAAAGGGTGGAACACAGATTCACTCTTTTCAAGTCCAGTAACAGTTACTTAGATTTGAGAGTTTCTTCCATTCTTGATGTTGCCATGATGTGTCACTTAGGTATAAATGAAATGAAAGTTGATGTGACAGTTAGCAGAACCACCAGGGCCTGTCTAGGAGCGTTTCTTAGCAGCACTGCCTTGCTGACAAATAACAGGACTTAACATATGACACAGGATCTCACAATATTACCATTTATTTAGCCCCAAAGAGAATACAATTTCCTATGTCCAAACACAGCCCAGGTGACTGATAATCTGTAGCATCCAAACAATATCATCGCCCTTCCATCTTAAGAGGGCTTATTATCAAAGAAGCTTAGGTAGCATTATCTTCTAACAGAGACAATGTAAGCACATTTTTCACTTTAGCTCCAAGAATTTGATATCACTAAATATCTTCTCTCAAGCACAATATAAATTGCTTATTTTATTTATGTCCTACCTTTTAGGCTATTTGTAGCATAAACACATGCAAATGATGTATCTTATTTATTTTCTATTTCCCAGTTTTATAAATCATAAGTCTTCAAGGTCACTTTATTATAAATCAAAATGCTGTTCTAGAGATCCTCAGACTAATTATTTGCTAAAGCAGAGTGTTGTGAAGCAGTCCAGAGCACGGACTGAAGTGACCCAGGAAAGTAAATTCTACCTACAGTTATTTGATACACCCCGAGGATACTCATATATCTTTTGTTAGAAGTTTGACACACACCGCCCCCCTCCCCCCAGCTGTTCATTCAGAAGTAGGGTAAGGCTGAATTCTGACTGAGATCAAAATTTGTATATTTGGGAAAACATTGTAAAAAAATTTTGCAACAGAGAATGTATACTTTTCCTATGGAAATTGTTCAGTGTTTTTAAGCAGATAATAGGTTGCAAGTCATATTTAAAACTTACATAACCCAATTAAAATGTATAAATCTCAACAAGAGTTGGAAAAACTCAGGGACTTCATGGAGACTGAAGTGTACATTTTATCCACAAAAATATGTAGATACATGCAGAAGTCTAATAATCATACTTTATTGGGCATTCATTCATTCATTCATTCACTATTCGTACCCTAGGACTGCACTAGGCTCTCAGGTTGCAGAGATGACTAATATGTGATTCTAGGATTTTTTTTTAAGCCCTCAAGTAGGGCATTATGAACTGAATTTAAAATAGAAAGGTAATTACCCTTTCAGATGAATATTTGGCCCTTCATTTAGTCATCCAAATAAGGCTGAAAAGAGCAATTACATTGGACCCATAGGCTTCTAATGGATAAAGCATGTCACAATATATATGTGAATGCTTTATTCATAATATATAGCTTTTGTAGTTTACACATTCCATTTGAGTTATACATGTAATTGTCATAATAATCTTCTGGTTCCATCAGGCATGTATTAAAAGCCCCATTTATAGTTAATGGAACTGAAGTAAAAAGAAATGGAATAATTTCCATTCTAGACACAGTTGAGAAATGCCGGCCCTGAGATTCCGAGGCCAGTGATCCCTTTGTAACAACTCACTTTCTCAAAAGCAAAGAGCCCAGCCAGCTGATTCATAATCCTGGGATTAAAGTTCTCACGAAATACTGATTGAGGTAATACTGTTTGTATCTGGGAAGCTACCGAAGTTTCAGTGTAAATGTCTCCTCTCCTGGAAAACTCATCTTCATAAGACCAGTTAGGATTTTCATCGAACAACTCACTGTTACTACTGTCATTAATTATCCACTTTTTACAGTTGTTTTGCCTCACCTAAAGCAACCCTGTGTACCCAACTTTGGGAAAGACTAATTAATTTACAAAGTAATGATTACTCACCACTTTTCTTCCTGGGTAATATGTAATAAATTTCATGAGGATATGCTCTCTGCACTTTTGCATTTACAATCCCTACCACGGTGCCTGGCACATAGTAGTGCGCAGTAAGAATGGGTTTAGTTGCCTGTATGTGAATAGCATGTGTGTATAGTGTACGGCTGTATATATTTTCTCCTCTTATGAATACGGAACTGTTTGCCTTTCTCCCAAGTCCATTTGGATACAAAATAACCATTTTTTTTCTGCTCACTTTCACAGGATTATACCTTGACAATGTATTTTCAACAAGCCTGGAGAGACAAGAGGCTGTCCTATAATGTCATACCTTTAAACTTAACTCTGGACAATCGAGTAGCAGACCAGCTGTGGGTGCCCGACACCTACTTCCTGAACGACAAGAAGTCGTTTGTGCACGGGGTGACCGTCAAAAACCGCATGATCCGCCTGCACCCCGACGGCACCGTCCTCTACGGCCTCAGGTCTGTGGTGCGCATTGCAGAAGGGCACTTGTCCCGAACAAGATAGCTGTCGCTTTGTCTGGGAGGGGAAGCTGTTGTGCTGTTTTCCGTACCCCTCCGTCAGGGGTCCTGATAAGCAGTTAGGTGGCGCGGCCGTGGGGCAGCTCAGGGCGGGAGGCTTCCGGAGGGCCTGGGCCCCAGCGAAGCCTCCGCGTGTCCCTCTGACTTGTCTCAGCTGCTGGTCCCAAGGCTGCCTTCCTTAGGGAGCAGGGATGAGCAGCGCTGAGACAGCCGAGACCCGGAGTTTCCGCGAAATGGAAAGAGCGACGCCAACGCCGAGCGCGAGTTTGAGCGGGGCAGGTGCGCGAGCCCGGCTGCTACCCGACGACAGGCGGGCGTCTCGAGTCGTCTCACCCTCAGAGAGGAGTCAGGCCCGCAGGTCAAGTCGTGCTCTTAGGTTATTATTCGCGAACTTACGCTGCTAACTGCGCCTTTAGACAGAAAAGAATGGTGAGGACCTGCTGTTTGGTTGGGGGAAAACGGTAAAATAGGGCAGTTTCTTCCTTTAAAGTTTGTTTTGTATTAGAAGAAATAGTTTCTTTAAAAAAATGAAGAAAGTCCTGGCCGGGTGGCTCAGTTGGTTGGAGCCAAAAGGTGGCGGGTTCGATCCCTGGTCAGGGTGTGCACAGGAGGCAGCCCCATCGGTGTTTCCCTCCCTCCCTCCCCTCCCTGCTTGCTTTCTGAAATCAATAAAAACACATCCCAGGGTGAGTATTAAAAAAAAAAAGGAAAGAAAAAGATATCTTACTCTGAAAACATTACAATATAAAGAATTCCTCTGCATTATAGGGGAAGAAACTCTAAATTACAAAAATGTTCCGTTGTCTCTGATCTGTTCTGTTTTACATAAATATATAATTACTTTACAGTAATAATGATAGTATTACCTAGTGAACAATTGTTAGAGGTCAGCTCAGTACTTTCCATGCATTAATATAGTTAATCCTTACAACAACCTCATAAGTTAGAAACTGTTGTAATCTTTATTTCAAATGGAGAAACCGAGGCTGACGCAACTTGCTAGGATCACAAAGAAAGTAAACTGTGAGGATGGCGTTTGAATGCTTCCAAGTTCAGAGCCGGAGTTCCTAACCAGCACGCCAGGATGACTCTCACACACTTTTCTTACCTGGAATATCTCTTTTTTATTACCTACTATATTCAGCAGGCCCGATTGGGTGCATTGTCTTAGATCCTATACACCAGCTTCTTAGTTTATCACATTTGTAGAGAAAATGACCTTTGACTGTTAGGAAGGGAGGGAGAGTGTGAGGCAGAGAGAGAACATGTTTGTATCCTGTTAGCCACTGAAGGCAGAGAGATGGATTGGAAATTTATAAATGGCTCATTTAAGTCTTTACCCGCGCTCTAAATAAACTCTGTCAATAAATTCTGAATGCACCGAAGCCAAGTTGAATGGATGGGAAATCAACAATCACAATGTCTTTGGAATTGAGAGGGAAAGGAAAAGATCGATATAGATGATAAATAGGAATTCTTTATATGGTTAAGCCAATAATCAGACAAAAAAACACACAAAACAATGATGACTGTTCATTCTTATCATTAAGATGAACTGGGCATAATAGCTGTAACTCAGACTTACGACAGCAGGAATCTTCTTCACTCTCCCATCCCCACTTCCAACGAGGGCTGTTGGTAAGATAGGCAGGCTCCTGAACACACCTGACGTGCACATCAGGGCTTCTGGGTAGAGAAGGCTCTGAACTGTGATTGTTTTATCAGTCGCATTGTTAATTCTGAATTTGAAATCGATGAAGTTTTTCAGAAAATTTACAGATGTCCCTTTCCATTTTCTACTGACTAGAATAACTTGTTTGTGGCTGGAAATTGGATGCAGACCACATATTTCTTTCTCAACTCCAGGAGGTTCGTTTGTGATAGGTAAATAAACAAAAGGAATTCTGTTAAGGTCCCCATTGCCAGGGCTGATTCGGCTCTGTGCAGCCTCTCTTCCTGTTCACCCACCTGCCGCCCAGCCATTCTCCGTCGCTGACAGTCTAGTAAGAGACTGACCTTACGCCTGTGCCTCGTTTGTGGCATGTGTTCAGTTACTTCCGTTTCATCAGGCCTTGTATGATTTCCCTTACACCAAGCCTTTTCTGCTGTTCTTATCATGTCTTATCGCTCACCCACTTTCTCAGCCGCTTTAAAGATCTACAGGATACAGAAATAATTTTTACCAGTTCTGGGGATGCCCTTTTTCAGACTTAAATGTATAGCTTGTGGCTAAAGAAGAATGAAACTCTTGAATGTAGAGTCTCACCTTCGCTCTTGGCTGGTTGATAGCTCAGTTGTGCCAGTTTGACCATAAAATCAAATACCTCTTGTCTTTTATGATCCTATATAGAGATTTCTTTCAGGAGATATGGCTGGAGATGGGGAAGAATATTTTCTTGGGAGTAACCCAGCTGTACAATTGGTGACAAAGGACTTCTCAGTTGACTAGACCGAACAGCTCCTAGCAATTTGTAAAGCAAGCATCTCAAACAGATTAACTGTATTTTTTAAAAATAAAATTGGTCCAGTCAAATGATTTTCAGAACGCTTTAAGGAAAAATGACATAAAAATATAGGATTTTTGTCAATAATCCCAGCAAAAGTACTAGCAGGTAAAAATCAGGTTTAATATGGTATTCACATGGCATTATAAAGAATGTTACATGGATATAATTCGGACCATTATTGGCTTTAAAAAGGAGATATTTATTAGATTTCAAAAAGCTAATGAATAATTGCTTTGGACAGAGATTCAGGAGACCTGCATTCCATGGTTGTTACTCATTTAAATCAGTTCTAAATTTTATTCTAGCTCCCAAAAACCCCGTATTCCTATGATTTTGCTAATGTATGGCATAAATATTTTTAGGACTTTCACTTCATTATGCATCTGGCAACACTTTACATATTTCAGTGCTTCAGCAATTGCATTTATCTCCTTGAAAAAAATCTTATTAATTAGGAAAGCAGTAACAAAATCCTGGCATTCAGGTATACAAGAAAGCCTGAATTGTCCACGTTGGCATCTTTTATGAGTATAACAATGCATATTTTTATTAAAACTTAGAATCTCAACCCAAATGGACTGTATATTATTGATGCCAAGTGAGTAATATTATATCATAAGCATTTTATCACATTATTAAAAATTCTTTAACACAATTAAACCAAACTTTTATTATGAGATGATACATATTTGCTATTGAAAATTTAGAAAATTCAAATAAGTTATGAATAAAATTACCCTTCATCCTACCACCCAGATTTAATCACTAACCATACCGCACTTCATAGTCTTCCAGACATTTTTCCTAGTAGAAAAAAAACAAGTATATAGGTAGCTTTCTGTAAAAATGAATTAATATTATATGTACTATTTTGTGATCTTGTTTTTTCTTTAACAATAAATGCATTATAAATATGCTTGCCATGTCAATACGACCCTTCTCACCATCAGTCTTTAACCATTATAAGACATATTTGGAATATAATTTTTTATTTAATATAGGGTATGGTTTGTGGTTTTGAGATAAGATGCAATCTGTGGTTGTTGCAATAAAATGCAGGACTACTATTTAAAATTTATGTAATATTTTAGCCACAAAGCTCTTCGTGGCACAATTGATAATCTTATACTTGTGCTGTTGTAATTTGTAGTCTCCCTGGTTACGTAAATGGCCCAGGAGAGGTACCGATGTTGATTTTACCAGGACGTTTCTTATGAGTGGAATGACTTCCTTACTCTTTCCCTCGTAGCTGACCCATCTAAAAATAGCTCTTGGCATTTGGCGTGAGGGGGGAGCCCTTGACTTCCTATGTCCGTACACCGCCCGCATATAGCATTAGATCAGAGACTTGTCACTTCTGATTAAAGGCTCACATTCTTAAAGGGAGATCCAGCAGGAAGCAGAAGGCAGTTCAGCCGCCTCCCGCTACGTGTGTCCTGTCATTGGGGAAATGGCAAAGGATACCGTTCGCCTGTAATGAATTTAGACAGGCAGGGTTTATTAATTGTATCTCCCTCCGCTGCTCCTGAAGCTTTACCGCAGGATGTTAGGCAGGCGAATAACTGAGTACCAGTTCCACCTGAAATGTAGTCTATCAAACATTAACATCCCTTTTTACCTCCGATTTCCTAATCGGTTTAATTCATTTTCATAGAGATTTTGAGGGAATGTATTTTGTCAAACAGAAAACAGATTTTTTTTAAGACTATCAGTCCCCCTGGCCAGAATGTAGGACCCTGTTCTCCAGATTTCCTCAGCTGTTCTAGGCAGGAAAAATCACCGTCATGTACCTCCCTGCCGTGGGAAAGACGCACCTAATACAGCTTCATAGGATACAACCTCTTTAAAGAGCTTTCAGCAATTTTTCAAAGACAAATTTTTACCCATAAGATAAAATTATTTAGATTAAAATAAATGCATTTAGGAGTAATTTCTGACATCTTCAAGTTTATCTCCTTTTTAAAAATTGATTTTAGAGAAAGGAAGGGAGAGAGAGAAACATAGGCTGCCTCCCGCAGGAGCTCCAACCGGTGATCGAACCCGCAACCGGGGGGTGTGCCCTGACTGGAAACACAACCTGCCACCTTTCGGTGCGCAGGGTGAAGCTCCAACCAGGGAAGAAACCAGCTGTACCCCAGTAAAGATGCGGGTCTTACATTGCAGGCCCAAAGAATGGGTGTAGGGGTGTCTACATGGAATCGGGCCTTGTCCACATAGGGAATCAGCACTGAAACCCACTGAGGACACACCACCCACAGGCCCGTGAGTGTATCTCCACACAACATCGCTGTCAGGGGTGGGACTCGAACACTCCCAGTTTCACTGGGAGTGAACCCACAGGCTTCTCTGCTGGGTTAAAGAAGTCCGTTCACTCCCGACTTCGTAAGCCAGGGAGTAGCCACCGAGTAGCGGACACACTTTCATGTCACGGAT